GGCCAGCTCATGGCCAGGTTTTCATCTGCCGTTACCCCTAAGTCCTTCTCCTCAGGGACCTGCTCTTGATCCATTCTCCTCCCAGCCTGTCCTTGTGCTGGGATTGCCCCGACCCATGTGCATGGCCTTGTTGAACTCCATGTGATTGGCATGGTCCCACCTCTCCAGCCTGTCCAGGTCCCTCTGGATGGCATCCCTTCCCTCCAGCGTGTCACCACACCACACAGCTTGGTGTCATAGGCAAACTTGCTGAGGGTGCACTCAATCCCACTGTCTGTGTCACTGATAGAGATGTTGAACAGCACCAATCCCAATCCCAACCCCTGGGGAACGCCGCTTGTCACTGGTCTCCCCTCAAACATTGAGCCCTTGACCACAATTCTGACTGTGACCAGGGTGCGTCAGCCAATGGACCATCCATCTGCCGTGCTATAAGGCAACGCCACGCTTGCGGACCACTACTCAGAGATGCTCACAAACTGCTCCCACCCTTCGTGGGGACAGAGGGCTCCAGTCCAAGCAGTGGCAGTCCCTTCCACCCATCCATTACTCTGTACAAAGGCGATTAGCAGTAGGTCCCTCACTTGATCTCTTAGCAGCAGTTTGTTCTGCATCAAAATGGGTTGAAGAGCCTGGAAACAGTTGGGAAAGAAATGTGCTGAGCAATAGCGCCAGGAGGTTTTCCCAGCTGAAATATTTGAGATCTGAGCAGTTGAATGCATCCAGCTAAGGCTGAATCTTTTCCAGATGCAGTCTGGGTAAGAGCAGCTCAGTGCTGGCTCTGCCCAGCAGAAGGCAGCAGGGACACACACTCTCTGCCCTGCCTGTTAGCCCTCCTTCCACACTGTACCTTGACCAAACTTGAAGGAAGCTCTCCAGTTCGGGATTCCATGTATTTCTTCAGGTCCTGATTCAGATACTCAAACACCAGATAGAGGTTCTTCTGGCTGTGTATAACATCCAGGAGCCTGCAAAAGAAGTGCAAGCACTCCCTTTGTGTGGGAATCCATGCTACGCAGGAGTGTTAGTCTCTTACAGAGAGTGTGGGAATGTCTCTCTGGAGAAACCTTCACCCAAACATCCCTCCTCCCTCTGTGAGTCCTCTGGAGCAGAGACAAACAGGAAAGTGGCATCTAGTATGGGGCAGCAGCAGCTCTAACCAGCCTGTGTTACTGTAGTAAAGTGGCAGTGCTGTGAGCTCTTGCTTCAGACCGGGGAAGTGCAAGTGATTCTTGCATTTTCCTATTTAATTTGCTCCTTTCTGTGCAGTCAGGGAAGGACTGGAAGACCCCTCTTGCTGCCTGTACCCAGAGCTCCCTGTGGGGGTGAGCAGGAGCCCATCAATACACTGGTGGAGAGGATTCATCCAGATCTTACCTGACTATGTTGGGGTGCTTCAGCTCCTTCAGCAGCGAGATTTCTCGGATCGCAGTGCTGGGGACACCCTCTGTCTCCCTGCGGCAGAGACAGGCTGTAAGACACCCCGTCCCCCAGTAGGATCCCACAGCCCATCAGGGTCCTGTGTCCCTTCTCCCTTCCATTGTACCCCATTGCCTGCCCAGGGGAGGGTCTCTTGCCCTGGACACCCCGGGTTTGGGATGGAGTGGCCTGTGGAGTGGGCTGGGACAAGAGAAGGGAAATGGAGGCCTTGGAAAGGAGTGGGAGGGAGTGAGCCTAGACAGTGCAAACTGTGGGGTGTAGCTTTTTTGGGAGCATCTGAGGGCACATGTGGAGATGCAGAGGTTTAAATATCCAAGCCTCACTTTTCAGACATGGGGAGCAATGAAAGCTCTTTGCCCCCTCAGGCAGCCACCTCCACCATCCTGAGGGGCTGCCATGGGGTGCAGCCCCACCACCATGGCCCCTGGTCCACACTGACACCCCTAATCATGGAGACAACTCAGGGTGAACGCAGGGGAACAGTAATAAGCTCTTATCTGTGCAGTCCCCACCCTGGAAGGGTTCAAGTTGCCCCTGCTGTGAGACTGAGCCTCACCAGGCCCCAGCACCACACCCCTGCCAAAATGCCAACCTCCCAAAATGGTGGCTACTTCCCCCCGCCCTGGGCCTTGGTGCCAGGGCCAGGTAGCGCTGGGTCAGGCCCTACCTACTTGCATGAACTTCCAGAGACTTTGTTTTCCCTCAGACCAGGCTTTTTTAAGCCCCTGGTACATTTTTGGACACTGGGCTGGGCTCAGGGCCTGCCTGCTCACTCCCATGGTGCGGCTGAGGTACTGCGGGGCTCAGCTGGCAGCCATCTGCCCACAGACAGCACTGCCAGCCCCACAGGAGCCATTTGCCTTCCTTACCCCTCTCCCCTCGCCTCCCTCATCCCCCTCTCGCCTTGGCACCCTCTTGCTGTCACCCTGAGGAGGCAGCCGGCCTGGCACCATGGTGAGCACTGGGCCGGGCAGGCACTAGGCCGGGCTGAGCCATGGCAGCCCCCGGGGCCGGGGATTTGCCCCACTCACAAGTCCAAGCGGATCTTCTTGAGGGCCACCAGCTGCTTCGTGCGCTTGTTGCGAGCCTTGTACACCACGCCATAGGCGCCCTCCCCGATCTTCTCCACCTTCTGAAACACCTCAGCATCCATGGCGCTGCCTCAGCCTCGTGACGGCAGCGGGGATGGCTGGCACTGCTTTCTGAGGAAAAGTAGAAGAAAGGAAAAAAAACCCCACACGTGCAGAAGGTGTTCGCTCTCCCCGTGTCCCCTGAACTGCTTTCAGGGTCGGGGTCTCCCCTTGCTGCTCCCCCAGCACAGGGACGTGTCTCGCACAGGGGCAGCCACAGGCGGGGGCAGGGCCGTCGGGGCACACAGGCAGGTGTCTGGGTGTGTCTGGGGGTCTTCAGGCGGTCCCAAAGAGCCAAACACCCTGCACCAAACGCCCAGGGCACAGTTGCTTGCAACCAAGGTTGTGGAGTGTGTTGGCTAAAGCAAAAATAAAGCAAAATGGTTGTAAAAAGGTGCTTTGGGCCTATGGGAAGGGCAGCAGGGACTGCACAGGGCCAAGGGATGTTCCGCAGCTCCGCTTCTACAGCCTCACAGGGCTGCGGTGCACAATTAGGGTTCCCTGGGACACACACAAGTCAAACACACAGCAGAAATGTCTGTTTGTTTGTTTGGGTTTTGTTGGTTTGGTTTTTTGTCTTGTGCAACTGTCCCTTGAACCTCCCCCCGTGGGCTGTGCCACTTGGTCACCCTTTTGGAAGTTGTCCTTTCGGGGGGGTGGGGACAGGTTTAATCATTGACTTGACAGCTGATAGAAGACAAGATTAAAAAAATAATATGCACCATGGCACCAGGAAAGGTACAGCCACGGGGACTGTCTTCTGGAGGGCTTGTGGGCTCCCCGTCTCTGGGTGGGCACAGCAGGACACAGCAGCCCACTGGCTGTGTGGGACCACAGTGCAGACCTCAACTTTCAGGTGACCTGAAAAGGACTGATTTAGCCCATTGCTGCCAGCTCAAAATCTTTTTAAAATTGAGCCTGATTTTGCCAATTTGATAGAACCAAAGCGTGGTTGCTCTGCAGCTTAAGAGGGATCCACATAGCCATTCCTGTGTGGATTCTCCGGTGGCTTGTGAAGGTTGACTTTGCATTCCTGTCTCCATCCGGGCTCACTGCTAAATTTGCTCTCTTCTTCTTGGCTGGTTCAGTTTGTAGGGGTTTTTTTTCATAACGCTTATAGGAACCTGGCATTTTGGATATTGCCAATCCCAGCATCTTGGATATTCCCAACTCTCTGGTAAATGTGGCTATTTGGATAAAATCTAAGCACAGGGAGGAAGGTAGAATTGGCAGGAGATGGGGTGTAAACATAAACACATCACAACAGACTCATTTTCTCTTACAAAACCAGGTTAAAATATTGCCTCTTGAGATCATGTTTTTGGACTTCAGCTGAACAGAGTGTGCTGAGGCAGGACTTTTGGATCTGTGTAACTGCATGAAGAAAAACATAAGGCTAAACTATGATTAAAGGTTATAGCAAGCACTGTAATTACTGAGCCATCTCGGGCCCTTGAATCAAGCCTTCTGGCAACAGGGGACTTTGCCAATACCTGCTGCATTTTGATCTGTTGCTGTGCACTGTACAGCTTTGGTTCCTTATTTTCTGAACATTTCACTGAATTTGAGCAAAAAGCAGAAAAGGCTGCAGGTGGCTGAACTGCCCTGCAAACCACAGTCCCAGCACACTCCAGGTCCAGGATTCCTATAGCACAGCAGTCTTCTGTCTCTTGCACTAACATTTTATTCTCACCTCACATTAGTGATTTTCTGTCTTTTTGTGGATGGTTTAATTCTCCTAGGTGGGCCTGGCACCATGTTTTTAAACCGAAGTGGCTCTGATATAACTCCATCTCCTCTTCTTGCAACTTTTTCAAAGCCAAGCACTTCCTTACACACCCAGTACTTAGGAGGAAGAAAATTGTGTATCGCTAGATTTTCTTACATCATCCATGGGGCTCCTGCAGGGCCCAATGCAAGAAAGCAAGAAAGCGGTTTTTAATCAATAAAAGACAGGGTGCCTTCCCTTTTCATCTTTATTTAGGAAAATATCAATCAAAACCTTTAGATGCTTAAAAAAAATCAGTTATTTAAGGTCTCCTAAACTTAGCTGTGTCAAGGAAGCATGTCAAGTGGTGGTTCTCAGGGCACTGCGAATATTTGTTTTAGAAATAAAATCGATCCCGCACCTTGGACACCAGCTCCTGAAAACCCGAAGAGGCAGGTGCTACTGAAAATAGCAACTCTTTGTTCTTGCTCGTTGGTCAGCCCAGGTATGCGAGTGTTTTGCCAGGAACGCTCCCAGCGTGGGCAGCTGAGTCACAGTAACCAAACGCCTGCACTCACAGACCCGCAGCCACACAGGGCTGATGAACTCTGCGCTGATGCCCTTTACCTCCGATCTGCCACCAGCCTGGTAACCTGCCGCGCTTTGGCAGTGCGTGTGGGTGTGAGCTGTGAGATTGAGAGACTTCTTTTTATGACATCTCTGAGCCTTGCATCACAAAAGGACCAGTACAACTCAAGTGCTCCCGTTCCTTAACCACCCTTCTAAACAAACCAACCTGCTTCCCAGAGCTATTTTCAGTGATGACACCTGCCATGAATGGACAACCCACAGTCACATACTGACTCACGCTCTTCAAGCGTTTCCCTGCTGACTGACTTCTCTTTGCCACGGCAAAAAGCAGTATCTTGCAAACCCACGTTCTGAATTTACTCTTAACCTATTTATTGCAAATGGCAGCGCAAGGAGCAGCGTATGGCGGGTCTCAGAGCTGCTCTTGGGACGTGCTGTTTCCCATCCGCTCCTGCCTCTCGTTGAAGTATTTCCTCTGCTCCTGTATGGCTTGTTCCAGCAAGGGCACATTCATCCCCTCAACGCAGGTCAATATTCGTGCCTTTACCACCGGACCCTCACCTGGGAATATAAACAGGAAGTTTTCATAGGAAGAAAAAAAGAGAGAGCAGCTTGGAGGCAAACAGAGCATCTCTTTGTCAGTGACATGGATGATG